AAAGAATAGACCATTCCAAGCTTTTACTTGTAGTTTAACAAATGTTTAAACAACTCTATTTAGTTACCCCACCTGTTTTCCTTTATTAAAATTATTTGAATCCCAATCAGTAAAATAATTTTTTTCTTAAAATTGGTCTGCAAGATCCAAAATAATAATGTATGATTACTTATTTTGAACTATAGTTATAATGATGGGTAAGTTCAATCCATTATTTTCTGGCATATTCTATGCCTCTTACTATGATGAAGCACAATCCGAACACTTTTCCCTTGGAGTACTTCTCCGAAACAAAAACTGGTTTTCAGAAAATGTTCACTTTTTTACAATGAGGTATGAATACTACAATTAGTAGTTACTAGCACAAACAGCCACCCATATGGTGGCATTACTGCTAGTTGTTAAAATTATTTTGTGTAGGAGTCCTGTAACTAGATATTATGTTGAATTGGCAGTTATCAGCAATAGAATGGTATGTTTCAAGTAATAAGATTATAAAAGATATTAATACACCGCTTATATTTCTAGGCAGCATAGTCTAAGAATTGATAGTCTTATGATATTTTTTGCAAATTTTAAACTGACTTTCAATGGGCTACTAGTTATTGAGTAGCTATATTGATGAAGGGTTAAAGCTAGTCACCTAGATTTTATGAGGAGAAGTGTGAAGCCATCTTTGTTAAATGACCGCTTTATCAACCATAACATGTGAAAGCAGTATTTTGAAAGTGACATGTTTTGTTTATGAATTACCAAAATATTTAGTTTTAATTTTTTCTCTTTAAAGGCAGAAACAATGGCAGATAGTAGATAAAATAATGGTGTTTATTAATGGTGATCAAATGGGAGACAATAGATAAAACAATGGTGTTTATTAATGGTGATCAAATGGAGACTATAGATAAAACAATGGTGTTTATTAATGGTGATCAAATGGGAGACAATAGATAAAACAATGGTGTTTATTAATGGTGATCAAATGGCAGATAGTAGATAAAACAGTGGTGTTTATTAATGGCAATCAAATGGCAGATAGTAGATAAAACAATGGTGTTTATTAATGGTATTCAAATGGTAGATAGTAGATAAAACAATAGTGTTTATTAATGGTGTTCAAATGGTAGGTAGTAGATAAAACAATGGTGTTTATTAATGTACATTGATGTGCTCTTGAGATATAAAATTAATTTATTCTGGTTTCCAAAATGTATGAGAAATTTTGTGATTATTGTTAATTATTGCAACTAGTAGGCTTAACAAAATCATATAAAGATTTTTGTGTGTTTATTCCAGCAACTGTCGCTACGCCACCACGCTTGACTCCTGCAAAGTTTTCTACTCCTCATCTCGTTAGTCGATTCACTCCTGGAGGATATTTACTGAAGGTTTCTGGGTCAAGTCAGACTTCTTCTGTGGAGATACATGATGTCCAGGTAATCTCTCCTTAAAGTTTGTTGTTTAATGTTTGTTTATTTTAAGTTTTCAGACTTGAGGTTTCTACATACTTGTTATTAAAAGTTAATTTGCTTAACTGACTTTTAAGTTAAGTTGTGTGCATGTTTACTCAGAGCAACTGAAGCTACACCACCACGTTTAACACCTGCAAAGTTTTCCACTCCTCATCCAAATAAGTTCAACATATCTTACTACTAATTTTCTATATTAAGCAGCAAAAGGAGTGCTTATGCATGATAACAGATCTAGGACTTTTGCAAGGGGCAAGTTCAAAATTTTTAGAAAGCTTTAGAGTGAAGACTTATATTTGCAAGTAAAATTTGATGTGACATACATTTATATTTAGGAAATTATCATGTACATGTAACCCACACATGTGGAGTTTTGCATTATAAACATTTCTGCTAATGAAATTTAGTAAAATCTTATTAAGATGAGTCAGATAGCCAAGAACATAATAATGGTCTAATGGTTAAGATAAATGATTCTCAATCTGCAGGTTCAACTCCTGTCATCAAAAATACTCTCTTTTACCCACGGGGTCAGTTCCATTTTTCATTGGTAAAAGAGTAATTGAAGAATTGGCAGTGGGTGATGTTGACTAATTGCCTCCCTTCAAGTTTATCACTTCTAAGTTATGAACGGCTAGCACAGATAGCCCTCTAGTAACCTTGTGTGAAATTAAACAAAAAGTAAACTTCTTGAAAAAAGCCCAAAATTTTCTACATTACTTCTTTATGCATACCTGAACTTGCTAAGGACATAGAACATAGTTTCTTATTGGAAATGTAATCATTCTGAAGTAATCATAGTGACTGTTATACTGATTCCATTACCTGAAAGTCCAGAAGTAACTGAATGTATACATAGACACTTTTCCACACGTTTTAGGTTTACTTAAAATTTTCAACATAATTTGCCTGATCACTTCTTTTGAACTTTGACAACAATTCATTATATAGGAGATTTCTACAAACTCTTACCACTATTATAACACCAGCCACATGTGAATGAAAAGTACCTAAGACATGGATTGTCAATTAATCATAGATATTCCAATTAATCTTTATGTGACATTACAAAACAAACACACTACAGGAAATATAGGAAAAATAATAATACAAGAAACCAAAACTCCTTTTAATAATGATCGTCGTTTAGCATTGTTTAGAGTCAAGATTGATACACGACTTACTGTTCAACACTTTTTTTTAATTTCAATGTTTACTCACTTTGAACTAGTTTCCAGTGCTTACATATATAAGCAAATATAATCAAAGAAGATACAGGGAAAACTTTATATCAGTATGAGGACGCTTGAAAGAAACTTTGTATAATATTATGAATGATGATTGATAAATCTTTAGTATCAATTCAAACTTTTCAGTTTTTCAGCAAAACAATACATAACTTTCTAATTTACTTATATATGCAACATTCTAAAAGTTTTTAGGATTATTTTGAGGTCTCCTATGCAAGCGGTAATGAATTGATATTTTGTATTACTTTGCATAAAAATTAAACATTTGTATTTTGTGTGGTAGAAAGGTAAGTCTAATTTTTGCATTTTTCAATTTATGTTGTTAAAAACTAAAGTTCTTTGTAACACAGCCATTTTCATGTAGTTGTTTTTGTATTTCTTATCAACTCTTCTCTTATTATTACATGCTTCTCTAAAACATAGACAGAGTAATTCTACATGTCTGTGTTTGTTAAATATTCAGATATAACACAGTATGTCTGTGTTTGTTAAACATTCAGATATAACACAGTATGTCTGTGTTTGTTAAACATTCAGATATAACACAGTATGTCTGTGTTTGTTAAACATTCAGATATAACACAGTATGTCCGTGTTTGTTAAACATTCAGATATAACACAGTATGTCCGTGTTTGTTAAACATTCAGATATAACACAGTATGTCCGTGTTTGTTAAACATTCAGATATAACACAGTATGTCCGTGTTTGTTAAACATTCAGATATAACACAGTATGTCCATGTTTGTTAAACATTCAGATATAACACAGTATGTCCGTGTTTGTTAAATATTCAGCTATAACACAGTATGTCCGTGTTTGTTAAATATTCAGCTATAACACAGTATGTCCGTGTTTGTTAAATATTCAGCTATAACACAGTATGTCCGTGTTTGTTAAATATTCAGCTATAACACAGTATGTCCGTGTTTGTTAAATATTCAGCTATAACACAGTATGTCCGTGTTTGTTAAATATTCAGCTATAACACAGTATGTCTGTGTTTGTTAAATATTCAGATATAACACAGTATGTCTGTGTTTGTTAAATATTCAGATATAACACGGTATGTCTGTGTTTGCTAAATATTCAGATATAACACGGTATGTCTGTGTTTGCTAAATATTCAGATATAACACGGTATGTCTGTGTTTGCTAAATATTCAGATATAATACAGTATGTCTGTGTTTGTTAAATATTCAGATATAATACAGTATGTCTGTGTTTGTTAAATATTCAGATATAATACTGTTATGACAGCAGAAGTCACGTGATGCTGGGAGCATGCGCGCTGGAGTTTCTTGAAGGATCATGAATTTGCCCGGCAACTCTAGTCTGATCGAGATGCCCTCTTTCTTAGTATATAAGCCTGGCGAGAAAAACCAGTGAGATTGGGCAGATAGATAATTGAGTGAAGCGAATAGTAGGCACCGTAAGTAAAGTGTGTGAATCACTGTGATTTATAGTGTGTGTTATAAAGGTTGTTAAGTAAAGAGACGGGAAAACGTATTGACTGTGGAAATTCTGTTTATTACAAAGTTTGTACCGAGGAAAAATAAACTGGGTTACTCAAGAAAGGACTTGTATCGCTGAAGTTTCTCAGAAAGAATTTATACCAGAAATTAATAAACAAACAAATACGTAACAAATTTGTGTCAGGAGTGGGATGGAAAAGGGGAAAAAAGAAGATGGAAACCAGAAGAGGCAAGAAAACCTGCAACAGTGGCAGCTCAAACAGCAAAATAAACAAGAGAGATTAAAGCAGTTGTTGGAGGAAAAAAGAAAATAAACAAGAAGAGAGACTACAGCAGTGGTTGGAGGAGAAAGAAAAGAAACAAGAAGAGAGGCTACAGCAGTGGCTGGAGGAGAAAGAAAAGAGACTACAGCAGTGGTTGGAGGAGAAAGAAAATAAAAAAGAAGAGAGACTACAGTAGTGGCAATTGGAACAATAAAGGAAACAGGAAGAAAGTCTCCA